CAATTTCACATCTTTTTTCACTATTTTCCCTTCATTTTTGTTTGCAAAAGAAACTTGTTGAAATATCTTATGCTGAGAATTTTATATTATACCAAAGTATAATATTGAATAAGGCGATTAATAATAATAATAAGCGATATGTTTTTATCACTCATCAAACTGTATATATTTACTTTGGTTTATAATTGTGAAGTAGATTGATGAATTATCAGAATACGTGAAAGTAAAAACCAAGCATTCAACCATTTTATAGCATAAATGGATTGTAACTAGCAACTGAATCCAGAGTATGTATTTCATTCTATATATTTGAAACTTGTCTATATAAATGTCTAGATAATCAGTGAGACTATAATTTATGGACGACCTTTGAACGACACCAAACTGAACTTGACAGTGTCTATCTAATAACTACGATTAAATGACGGTTATAAACTAGTGTGAGAAAATAGAATTATGATTTACAGTTGGGAATGAAGGTTAGAAATTAGATTTAGGGTTTTCATCATGAACTGACATTATCTATAATGCCAAAACTCTATTTATCCGAATGAATGAAATCCGACGCTTGTTATCTTATACATGATTGGTTCGTTCATAAACTATAGTCTCGTCAGATAATCTTATAAGATAATGCCTTGTTTAAAGCAATTAGCAATGGATTCATTTAAACCAATTAAGATTGATTAAAATTCATTTACAAAATATTATTCAATTGAATAATACAAAGTCATTACAAACTAAATGAATCAACATTAAAGAGGAAGAATGGTATTTATAAAATCTCAGAGAAAGAATTTGAAGTAAATCCAACGTTTCGCCTGACAATCTGGTCCAAACTTTTTCAAGGAAAATATAATCAAACAACAAAATTATCGAATATAAATTTTGTTGTTTGATTATATTTTCCTTGAAAAAGTTTGGACCAGATTGTCAGGCGAAACGTTGGATTTACTTCAAATTCTTTCGCTGAGATTTTATAAATACCATTCTTCCTCTTTAATGTCTCACATTAACTCGACGTCCAAATATTGTGAAACTATTCGTTCAAATTTAGACAAAAGTTCTTATTTATAAATGAATCAACCTTAATTTCTCTTAACCAGTCAATTGAAGTTATATAAATAAAAAAAACAGCATTCATAACAATAAGAAAGAATGTTCATATTTTAATCCCTATCTTCTTGTCATTATTGTATATTTCATTATATAAATGAAGACTTATTACAAAGTATATATATCTATAAGATGTCGAATAAGCCGACCTCCTATTACAAAATTATATTAAATATCATATAAAGTTGTTATGAATGACAGAAAATCATTAGCTACATAAAAACAAACATACAATACCTGATTTGTCGTCTGTTTGTTTGTTTGTTTTGCTTTTTTTTTCTAGTTTTCTTTTTACAAAGAATGAACTACATTTAGATCAAATGTAAAATAATGAGACAATTACACATAAGTTAATGCATTATAGTCTACTTTGATCGGATCAAAATGTTTGTCTGATGTTTAAACATAAATACAACTGAGAATAATTCAATTTAACAGATTCATTAGAATGTATTGCAATAACTTTGAACTATACTATAGACGAGATATATAAATAAATAGATAGATAGATAGATATCTTTATTAACCGATAAAAGATTACTTTTTACCTAACGACTAAATCTTTCGTCTATTACATAATCACTTTTAAACTTTGTGCAAAAGAAAACTAACAATATACAAATGTCAAAACAGTTGCTACAATAGTATACCATTTATATAACAATATTCTTATGTAATCTATGCATGGATGTTTGTATTACACTTTTTTTTCTTTTTCGTTCTAACGTATGAAAATGATTTAACAAAGTAATTTTTCTCTTTTTTTTAAAAGAAAAAAGAAAAGAAAAGCAGTTGATGCTACGGGATAAAACATATGCTTTTCTTTTTTTTGTTTTCTCTTTTTTTGTAACATTTGTCTCTGTCTGGTTAAAATATTATTGATATACACATATCTATATATTAGATTCAATTGAATAATCTGTATTTAAAAATATAATTACAATGAGATGACAATTTGTATGGTAAGCCATTATTAAACATCTAGAAATAGCTCATAATCACAATCGATTGATCACTGGGTGGCGATCAATGTCATGCGTGTCTAGTCCTTTTTAGTGCAGATCGAATGCTATCAATCATGTTACAATATGGCCACCAGTCTAGGTGACTCGACACTGCGGGCACTATGTATTGAGATTTAGATGGTGGTTGGAGGTAGTCAACAGGAAACTATGGACCCGGGTTTCGTGCTACTTGGCACTCGTCAGCAAGGTGTACCTGTAATCTCGAGGGAACTGGTGCTCCCTGGCGGATTCGATCTCGTGTCACCCAACTTCATAGTCAGAGACGTTACCACTGACCTATCCGAGCCGTGACTAACCTCCTGTAGGACTGAGATGTAATCACAATTGATTGATCACTGGGTGGTGAACATTCATTCATCATTCTTAATAGAGCCACAATCTACTGTACTGTAAATTATTTGAATTGTAAAATCACTTACAAATATTTCAATCGAGACATTTTAGTTACTGCATTTTTTAAGGGTTATAACTGAAGTTACATATGGGATACTGTTTTTATAACTATCCAATTGTGAATGTTCAATGTGTATTCACTCTTTATTTTAAAAATAGACTTGTAAATTAATTATCCCAGTTTTAATTTATCAATTTTTTGTTGTTTGAAATATCAATTCTAAGGTATAGAAAATGGTATTTAGTTTTTTTCTGTAATGCCGCCAATTTTTAAGCACCGAATTCAAAAAAAGAAGAATTTAAACAGTAGTGTTTATTTCTTTTTGGAAACAGCGATTTTATTTAATTTTTAATTTAATAGTTGAATTTTTGGGTCGATTTAAGCCAAACTACCATGGAGGCCGAAGTTCTTGGGTTCGACTTCTGTATGCGCGATGCTGAGGTGTCCCGTACTATGATGAAACAGACATCCACTGCTTCCAGGTTTTCCATGATAGTCTGGTTTTAATCAATTCATGAATCCAACTATTAAATTACTGCAATCTCCACAAAAGCCCCCTTTCTGATAATAATTTTTAATTCAAAAGTCTCCAGATTTTTTTGTAAAATTAAATATAGGGATTAGCTTTGTTATAATAAATTATCAATGCATTTGAAATATCCCTAAATGTAAAATTTATAGGTTAATTTCATTAGTACACAATGTGGCACATTACATAGACACATTCATCACAAAAATACTTGGAGTGGAGTTTATCTCAATTACTATAGTTTCTGCCCAATGAGTTACAAAAACGGTATTGTACGAACCCTTTTTGACCGCGCTCGTAAACTTTGTTCAAAGGAATGCCTTGACGACGAAATTACTCTCATCACTAATGTTCTACGTGAAAATGCATACCTATTGAAATTCATCCAGAAATATGCGAAAACCAATCTTCGGACAAAGTATGATAGAGTAGAAAAGAAAACACTTGCTTCTAATATTTACGTTTCAAAGGAGACGAAATTGCTGGATTAATTAATCACAGATTAAATTCCGCGTTGAAAGTGGCCTACCTAGCAGCAAAACTGACAACAGTATGGGAGACGAACTCTTCACTCAAAACAAACTAAAATCGACATGTCCTTTTTTCTCAGTAGTTCCAACTGCATTTACCAATTCACATGTATATGCCAAAGCATATACATTGGAAGAACTGGGAGAAGAGTGCATGTTAGCATTTCTGACCATGTTCCAAAGAACTTGAGTCTGCGAGGGACTAGGGCCCTCAACAGTGCAATAGCCCGGCATTTACTTGATACCAAGCATACCATCGACATCCTGCACGCTTTTAAAATTATCAACAGACAAAGAAGTACGACTGATCTCCGTTCCGCTGAAGCAATCGCGATAAAAAAACAAACCGGATTTATGTATTCAAAAAGAGACATTAATAAACTTATTATCACCCTGTTAATCCATTTTTTTATTTGGGTTATTTTATTCATTTATTTGTTTTAAAATATTTATTTTGTGTTATACTCCTTCCCCATTATCTAATTCTTAAACCAACCTTTCATTCACACATTTCCGCCAACTGATCCTCTTAAATTATGTTAACTCTTCAAATTCTATTTAATTATTACGTAACCTATCTTATCACTGTTTTAATTCCATGAATCCTTCATTATCTCTGAAATGACCACACAATTTATGAACTTCACTAAACTATTACACCACCCATCCTGAATTATTTCCTTATTTCTAACACCAATTAACCTCTGACCTGTTCTTGTATATATATATATATATATATATATATATATATATATATATATATATATATATATATATATATATATAGTTATCATTGTAAACCCTTGTCATACCAGTTATTTACGTTCATTCGTGCCATTTGTTTCACACTATTTCTTATCTCAATGTAAAATTCCATTACATATTTGGTTGTAAGCAGCTGACGAGAAACCACGAAATATTATGAATTCATACTACCCTGCATCAATATTTGTTCTCGCTTTATTTAAATTCATAAAGGGAACTAATTGCATGAAACTAATATGTTTCGTTGAATTTAGAAGTCAAAAATTTAACGTAATAATGAGAGTAGATAACTTATCAAGCATTGCTTTGTGTTTTCCACACACACGCACACACTCACAGTTCTATGCATGTTCGGTTTCACATATTAACTACTTGTAACGATAGTTTCTAGATATCGTTTTGCATATGAAAATTGTTATATTAATTAGGAGAAATACAGATATATAGTTCATTTCTTTGTGGATTTAGGAGCAGTATTGTTTAAGTGCTCTTAGTCAGGATAAAACAGATTTTCAAAAGTTACGCAAACAGTTTCAAATGAATAATGAACGAAAAAACCAACATATCTTCATGTCAAGTGACAAACTGTTTATAGGCAAATATCAAATTTGTTTTAAAAAAAGGTTTCTTTATCAAATTACCTCTTAAAGCAGTTCTTAATTTTGCCAGTTCTTTATGCCATCGTCCTAAGTAAGTTGATAAACTTTGATGCAATTCTTCCGTAGTTTTCTGTAATAATCCTAATTCCATTTGAAATGTACAACATGTATGCTTTGGTAAATCGCTATCCGACGAGTAACACAAACTTTGATGATATAATTGTGAGTGGTTAGCATCCCAAGTCAAGTCGGATAAACTCCTACCTTGACCAGCATGAGCTCGATATGTATCCAGAAAGTTATACTCCAATAATTGATTAAGTTGTGTCTCAGAGAGCCATAAATATAAGGATTCTTTAGCATTTCTTGAATTTTCATCTACCGTTGTTGAAGTGGTTGTGTTACTAGTACGATCATTATCTCGTGATAATTGTCGATTTTCTGTATTCGGCTGTTGTCGTTGTTCACTTTGAGTAGTTGAATTCACTAAAAAATGTACATGAACCAAAGAAATAGGTAAAGAAAGTAGAATTCAGTTTTATTTTTGAAAGTGTTATCAATATTTTTAACATACTATACTGCTGGCTCAGACGTCCATAGGTTAACCAATCTTGGAAGAGACTTAAGTTCCCTGGTTTGTTTCCCGGATGCGCACTGTTGAAAAGACCCACACTAGGGCGAAAACGTTTGTCTTGAGCTTCCAAGATTTAATGATGATCTAGCTACGAAACTTTTACAATCTCTACAAGTTAATTTGATACAATCCATATCGGAAACAAACACTTTCGGAAGTTTCAATGTGTCAAACAATTAATGAGGATTGTTAATTATATATATGACGCTTTTAATGAAGATTTCAGTCAGTGGATATAAGATTACTCAATCATCTCCCAAGTACCATGCTGTAAGATATGCCTATTTTTATTAAAAAACGGGATTCATTGATTATGGTCTCTAAACATTGATGATAATCCATCATTTGATGTTAACTAATGCTTTATTGCTTGTTATTTCATTTAATATATTTGTACCTGTGCTGTAACAACAACCTGTACGGTAGCCGACTATCGGCTTATCGTGGAATTTTTTTATACTCGCATAAAATAGATTCCGCTGAATTTTCCGAAACAAAGCATTTAAAAGTCAGGAGGAGGGGGCTGAAAACAGTATACCTAATTCTATGTTCATCGAAAACTCATTAGAAATGTTCAGAGAATTAACAGATAAGTTACACTTTAATTGGACGATGGATTAAACTTAGTCTAAAATTATCGTAGCGTAAGAGAATTCAGCGGTCAAAGATAACTAACACACATGTATGATAATAAAACTTGAAATTACGCTTCTATGATTACTTCGTTCTTCTTCTCTGTTGTTTAAAATTCAAGTTTTAAAAAATTCCTGGTAATCTGCAAATTGTCCAGGAAGTTATTATCAAGCATTCAAATACAAGAAGTAACAGTTTAGACTTTTATCTTCTAAATGAATATATTCTAATCATTAAAAATATCTCTACCATAACTTTATCTATCCACTAAATTGCCCATTTTTCGGATTTAAAAAAAATTAACTTTTTTAGTGATATTGTGATGTATGCTACTTATGTCTGTCGACATAAGCAGTATATAACACCAATCGTAAGTGGAAAACGTGTCAGAAGAAGGCTATGAAGGTCGACTTGAAGAAAACAGAAATGGAATTAAAAAAACAACTATGAATTGGAAGAATCATACAGAATATGAAAGAGAACTAATGGGAATTTTCAAATGAACTATTTAATGTATAGTTCTTATATTTTACCAAGACACTACTCTGAATAAGTGGCTTACACTGTATCACTATACTATACTTGTCATAACTCTAGACTGAATGAGTTCCATTGACATGGTCTGTTTGCAATCATGTATTGTTTTCATTAGTCAAAGGTGAATTTTATGATATTTTACTTATCCAAATACGATATAATTTACATTTGATCAGTGTTTCTAGAACTCTGTCGTATCTTTTTTTTTATAAAAAAAAACATCTTTTTAAGTGAATCAGCAAAACATCAGAACAGTATGAAACATAATCAGTTTTATACATCTACATTTTTATTCATTGTATTGCTTTAAATTATTATTTGGAAAATAGTAAATATACGTTAATTTTCTATGGATATTTCATCTGTATGTGAGATCTCTTAGATGCAAATTAACATAATGTCATCGTTTATTTTTTCTTTAGAATTTGTAAAATGTTCATTGGGCATAACAAAGTACTTAACTGATAGTCTATCTTAGTTTAAGACATTTCAGTGATGAACGAATAATCCTGTAAGTGAATGAATTGTTAGATAACCAGGTCTCTAGGTAGACAGGACAGATCACAGGACTTAAAGTGTCGTACTTATCTCAAGATCAGAATGTACCCCCCAAATGCCTTGGTATGGCTAAGAGTAGGGAAAATCAGCTCTCCCTCTCGGAATGCTCTCACATGGTCACGCCTATACAGCTACTGACAGGGAAGTTCTACTCACTATCTTCTCGCCGCACTAATGTTGTTTACTTAATTGAGAGGACGAAAAGTGAATATCCAGTGCTTTAACCGGATTGATGGATATGGAGGATCCAACTAAGGGAGTTGGAAAACCCTGATTCCAAACCAATGGTGCACATGGGCTCCATGATCGTGAGAGAACGAATGGTGTATGAACCAATTGTTGGTCACGGGTTGCCAAGGGACTGCATCTCTTGACGCTGTTGCACTGCCTTGTAGATCAGACTTTTAGGTCAAAGGCTCCGGGCTTGGACTCCTAGGAAAACCATCTGTGTGCGGTTTGGGAGTCTGGACAGTATTCCAGCCTCACGCAAATGGAATGATCTATGTGGCGCATTTGTATTCGATACCCCTTTGTACCAATGTTTCTCTGTTTGAATAAATAATAATAAAATTTCAGAATGTCATCGGTTCAATCTTGTATGTAATTTTAAGCCATACTTACTACATTATAGAAGATTATTTTTGAAAATATAAACATTCAGACTATATTATCTAATGGTTAGATACATTTTAAAATCTTTATAAATGTAATCAGAAAACTAAGTCAACTATAACATTATTATTCATAATAGAAAATTAGACAATGGTCGGTTAGTATTACATTAAAGGAATTGATATCAGCTATTTCCTATCATTGTCAACATAGTCCATTATTCCTATGAGTGATGTTTTTCTTTTGTGTGTGTATGTGTATGTGTAGAAGAAGAAGAAGAATATGGGATAAATGAATATTGCCCACTTTTAAATGATACCGCTAACTGAAATATTCAGAAAATAATAGATTAAATAGTTTAATTGTATATGATTAGTTTTACTTTGATCAGTATAAATGAAAACATCTTACCACAACAAGAGAAGAGTATAGTCTACTCATATATCATGGTAGAATTTAATACCTCTAAAATATGATACAAATCGATCGATGTTTTGAGTTCAATTGTGTAAAGAAAAATACAATGACCCCCTCCCCGGCTATGTTATTTAAATTTCCATCAAGTTGACTAGAATTGAACCTTCGAATGTTTATTTAACTAATTCAATGACATTATGGTTATTTTATTCATTTAAAGATCTTAAATTTGATCTCCGGTTCACTTATTGATCTATAACCTTAAATGAGAATGTAAAAGTTGTCTTCTATGAAATTTATGTTATAAACATACATATAATAATGTAATCGTATAAAATTGATCATATACTACTGATTATTTTCAATATCTATAACTTTTGCCTTGATAAAAAAATTACTGTACTTTCACAACATTCGTAAATAGGTATAAATTGAAAATTATACCAGCTAACTAATTTCATTAATAAATAGGAACTTTTGTCTAAATTTGTATTGAATAGTTTCAGAATATTTGGACTCCAAGTTGATGTGAGACATTAAAAAGGAAGAATGTATTTGTATCTCAACGATTTCAAATTCTTTCGCTGAAATTTTAAAAATACATTCTTATTCTTCAATGCTTTTATCATTATTACAGTATTAGAAAAATAATGAGGTCTTAATAAAATATAATTAGAATTTTGTATGTATCCTTTTAGTTTAATAAAGATTTTTATTACACAGTAGTGCAAGAACATATATGTAATTACGGACTGTAGATTTATTGGTGAGACTATAATTTATGGATGACCTTTGAACAAAGCCATACTGAACTTCAGAGTGTCTTTCTGATAACTAGGATCAAAATGAGAGTTATAAACTAGTGTGAGAAAATAGAATTATGATTTACAGTTGGGAATGAAGGTTAGAAATTAGATTTAGGGTTTTCATCATGAACTGACATTATCTATAATGCCAAAACTCTATTTATCCGAATGAATAAGTAAATTTCACTCCAAAACCCGACACTTGTTATCTTATACATGATTGGTTCGTTCATAAATTATAGTCTCGCCGATTTATTTTTCTAGAAAACTAAGCAAATCGTCTTTAAGGATACAATATGATTTCATATCATTCATCTACGGTTCCTATCATAATCATTCAGTGTAAGGAAGAAAGAAAAGAAATCTATTTTCTGTTCTATTAAGAATCTCTCAGCGAACTTTGATTCATTCGGTAAGTTGTCTAATATACCCTACAAAAATTTAACAAGTGTCTAGGAAATGAACATATATAAGATGTTTATTTCATAGTTTCAACTTCAAAAGACTTTTGTTTTCATTATTTCCATCATATTTTTTTGTCCACGAATAACTTTATCGTTCTAAATATTCGAAAATCTTTGCTTACCATTTATCAATGTTGAAATTCTTTTTGTTCTTTTATAGTTGATAATGTTATGTTCAATCTTACTCTCTCACTCTCTCTGTGCGTGTGTGTGTGTGTTATTTGAAAATGGAATCATTCACAATTTAAACACACTGGTAAAAAACAAACATATTTCACCGAAAATTCACATTTTTCCGCCAGTCAACTTTCATAGTCTTGAAATTCAGTCAACAGATCAAGAATATAACACTTGACATGAGATAAATGAGATGGGATGTTCTAAAATAAAAACTTCACTATATATATATATATATATATATAAATATATATATATATATATATACAATGCACTCCTTATATTTATCTAACACAATTAAATGTTTATTGAAAGAATTTAGGAAAATAATTAATTTCACATAAATTCGAGGAATAAATTTACGTAAGGTGAATGTGTTCATTTAGTTTATTGTCATTTGAATGAAGACGTTTATCAAAGTTAAAATGTATTGCTTTGGTTACATCTATCGGTTTTCTAAGTGAATAAATAATATTTCAACATAAACATGAAAATACTCCAAAAGAATTTTGCATTAAATGATCTGATACGGCCGACGTTGGGCGAGAGTTAGCTATCTCTCTTGAAATGCTCTCACATGTCCAAGTGTATACAGCTACTGCTACGAAGGTTCTACTCACTGCCTTCTCGCCACACTAATGTTGTTTA